AAACGGTCAGTGTCATAGTCTCTAGATGAGTTGGCCTCATCATAAGGAGGCTTGATTTAAAAAAAATGCCAGATAGACAACATGAAATGACCATTCCTCCAGTGTCTCATCCAAGGGTCAACTGTGGGCTAGTTTCCCACTCTACCTTTAAAGCACTAACCTAATTTCCAAAATTTATGCTTCCACGGTATTGGCTTAACGCTTAATGCCTCTCGTTTAACATTTATCCCCTTGTGGAGTTTGACATGAAATGTTCCATTCTCTCTGTGACTACAGCCAATTTGTCAGGTGCTTATTAACAGCTTACGTATGCATACAGGAGCTTTACCCGGTCTTCTGCATCCACAACGGCGGCACTGACCTGGAGCGCCTGCCCACCGCCAGCACCTGCATGAACCTGCTCAAACTCCCGGAGTTCTGCGACCAGCAACTGATGAGGAACAAGCTGTTGTATGCTATCGAGTCCTCCGCGGGGTTCGAGCTGAGCTGAGGAGGGCGAAAGGCTTCTCTCTCCCTGCATCCATGGACTCAACACCACAGAAATGGCTTGGGGAGAAAAAGACTTGTAACAGAGTGGGGGGGAAAAGAGAGGAAGGAAAGCAAATGATGCACTGACCTGCCTGATTTACTGTGTTCGTGTGTGTATGAGTGAGTGTGTGCGTGCCAAGCCGATGGTGAGCAAACGATCACCCACAGGCCAAGGAAAAGGGGGGTGCAAGGATGAAGCGGGGTAGGAAGCCTTTTTTTAATCCTTGTTGCTTTTAAGTAATTTAAATGTTTAATCACTTGTCAGAACACTTCAGAAGAACAGCGATGCAGTCCAACTTTGCAGGAAAAATCATGCGAGATTCAAAAACCAAGAGTAGCAGCTGCTCTCTTGTGTAATCTAACATGGATTGAAAGTTATTTTTCACCAAAGACTAAGTGACATCAAATAAAAAAGGCAATATAACAGAGAGACAGGGACTGTAAGACTTTAAAACCACCTTGCGGTGTGCCAAGGGCTGCGGAGGTGGAGAAGCTTTTGTGTAGAGCCATCATGTATTTTCAGTTCGAGGTAATCAAAACTACAGTTTTTGTGGTTTCTCCAATGATTATTATTACTAGTAATAACTGTCATGTCCAATAATCATACAGTATGTGTACACACCATCTGAAGTGTGTAAATGGCTTATGTTGCTGGACTAGATTGGAGGAAAGTATTAAATGATTAAGGATTTGTGAATATGTATATGTTTACAACTACTCTTGTATTATTCAATATTTGTACAGGTTTGTTTTTCTTTCCTTTTGTGTGGTGAATGGAGGCTTCATGCATTCACACATGCTCGCTATGGTGAACAATCTCTTTCCTGGTCAGTTTGCTCTTACGGCGCAATAACCAAGTCCCTTGGATAAGGCTCACAAACGATCAGCGTTCCAACAGGGTGGGTGAAAAAAAGAGAGAAGAAGAGTGTGTATGGAAATGAATAAACCCGCTTTTCTTTTTGCATTTTCCTTCCATAAGTCTCTTTTCTTGTTGCTTGTAATTTACAGTAATGACCGAGACATAAAACAGTGCTTTGTGGGAAAATCTCCTGAGTTTTATGGCCTCTGACATATAATTAAAGAAACATCCAGTTAAGAAACACTGAGCAGAACTATTCTGGCCTTGAGATGCATTATCGGGCTGAGCACAAATTAAGATTGTGTGCGTTTGTCATAAATCTACCTGCCCTCTGATGCAGCACAGCCCGGGAAGGATTCCATCCCTCTTTGGACCGAGTCCATCTCTTCATCCTCTCCTCCCTGCTGAAACAGCCAACTTGCTGCCCAGTCTTCTCCTCTCGGAGCCCGAACCCTGCACATCCGCTGGGCCAGGGAGCTCAAAGGGATAATTGGGTCTTAAAAACCAGACTTGTCATTGAAATGAGGGATTCATCTCAATTACTATGAGATTTATTTAACACTATTACCTCCTGATGGATTATAACTGACAAAGTTAATGCAGGATGTTATGAATCATCCTCAGTGCGTAATATACTTTAGCTTGCTCATAGGCCTTTTAAGGGCTAATTGAAGCTTTTAGGCTTGTTTATCTTGCCGCGGAGCAAGGAAACATCAAAAAATCACTTCAGGGTGATAGTGGATTGTACCCTACTTTGTACAAAATTACTCCGAAAGTGCCATCAACTGCATGCCTGGAAAGCGAGCATTAAACTAGAGTGTGCGCCCAACATGGAGGCATATCTGACAAGTTAATCATACCTGATTCAGCCTTCAATGAATGGGCAACAAATCATGAGACAGAATGACATTCATAGCTGCAGGAGTTGCATCAAAGAGAAAATGTCTTGTACCTTCTCAGGTTATGTTTTGTTATGACAGAGAGCCATCTGGTGGTCAACCAGTGGTACTGCATAAAGAACATTTTTAAACATTTATCTTGTACATCTATGGAACAATTCATGTAAAATGAGGCACCTTCTGCTGCCAGTGCCAGCTACTAATAAATAAGACTGGGTGAACTACAGCTTATTGTGCTGAGGACCGCCTGGAAACATTTCAAAGACTCAATTATTACACTTTGGCTGCCCGGTAGCAGCAGAAAAGGCAAGATATTCACATACACTACCTGGGCTTTATTAATAAAGTGTGGGTTTATTCATTTGGTGTAGCAGCACATCAGCATAGTGTGTGTGACAGTGCAGCGTAATGAGTGTGTACTTTCTTCCTGTCCAGACATGAACAGGGAGTAGGCCAACCTTACCTCTGGGTTTTAAATACCTGCATGTGAGCAGCAGCTTGGTCTACCTTATTTGAGCTACTTTACAGTCGAGAATTATCGTTGTCTTTAAACAGTCCACATTTGTCAACGTATGAAGTAAAGTGCGGTCATAACAATCAAAGAAAAGCATATAAAAGTATGTGAATACGTTTAGGGAAAGCTATCGACTGTATGATATCTATTGCTGTGATTCCTCCTGCTCTATGAGTCTAATTAGATACTGACTGCCCATAATGTCCAGTGTAATTAATAGCCATCTGTCATTTTCATTGGGTCTTCCTTCGCTGGCAAGAGCTCCGTCGGGCTTTAACTGCAAGAACGACCTTCATTTTCCATTTAAAATCAATGTGAGTCTGTAATTTCAGCCTCAATTTGGTTTAAAACTGCAATAACCTGCACTGCTTCATTCTGTTTCTTTGGGTTACGATGAGTTCAGCTGACAGATTTTCTGTTTTTACTCAGAGCTTCTGTGTCCTGCCCAGTATTTTTATTTTGAGCTGAATATATGGAAGTTCGTTCCTGCAAAGAGAATCAAAATTTTGATCAAGTGTTTTATAGTTTGGACTTTTTTAAATACTAATTGACAAGGGCTCTTATATGCTGACTTTAAAGCTTCTCCCCACACGTCATCTAACGCATGCTCTACACACTGGTGGTGCACACAGGTCTTTTCACTTATTTTGCATGGTTAGGCCTCTTCTGTGTGGGCAGGTATCCTTATGTCTCCCTGGGACTCCTGACACATTATTTATAATAATAATAAAATGTATGTATGTAGCCTATGTAGCACTTCAAAATGTCTCAAAATGTATGTACAGTATACATGCAAATTCACATGTTAGTGAGTTGTTGTTTTTTTAAGCAGATAAAAGCTAGGTTAGCAGCCAACAAGTTAAGTTTTAACTAAATACTGTATGTGTAAATTATGAAGAGCATTTTCACAGCAGACATTTAGTCATAGTATGAAAAGGTGTAACACAATATTAATGATGGCTTCCCCATGACTTTTCCTACATATATATAATGTGAGTTATATTCTTCAATGTGAATAATGTAAGAGACATAGGCCTAGGCCTAATTTTGACTCACTATGAGAGCTTTTATTTATATATATATATATATCAGAAAGCTTTATACAAAGCTTTTTCATATTTCCCTTATTTTAATGGCAAGGATGGTCTTCCATAAAGTATTTTGTAGTTAAAGCTGATAATTATGATAGTCATATGTCACCTGTTTCCCGAAGTACACGACAGATGGCGCAGAAAGCCATCCAGGTTGTATGAGAGCAGCTCCGATAATCAACCCAGTTTCGTGACTTTAAAAGAATATCCGAAGCGCAGGACAGACCTCATGTGTCAGTTCATGAACAATGCACATGTGAACAATGCCCTGCGAAGACTGTCCTATGTTTATGTTGAGGGCCATCATGGGTGTGTGAGCAGGTCAGAGAAACAGCGCTGCTGTCGACACTCAAAGAGTTGGTGCTTTCAAGTACCCCTCTTAAAAACCTGTCTCAGAAGTTCTGAAGGTTCTAAATGTGACTTCACAAGCATTATCTATCCTTATCAGAGTCCCACATGCGACAAATGCAAGTGATGCTTGATCCGGATGCTACCTGCTTTGCGGCATAAAAGAAAAAAGAGCTCTGGGCCCCTTCTGAACCTACCCAACTATCCGGCATTTCTCATGCTGAAATACTACCATGCCACGAGATTTTCTTATTTAGTTTGTAAAAACTTAAGACACATTTACATGTGTAAAATGTAAATACAATATCAAACAAAATATTAAAGAATATAAGAATGGAGTTTGACAATATTCCTCTCACACACACACTGATGGCAGCAAAGCAACCATGTAACCATCAGGTGCAATTATGGGGTTCAGGAGGAGCTGGGGATTGAACCACCAACCCCCTGCATTTGTTGGCACACAGATAACCTGGAGCTTTCAAGGCCATTGCATCCAAGTCTAATTTCCTCTCTTTGCTTGTGTTCTTAGTTGAAATCTGACTCGTTGAGGTTCACACAAGAATTCCAGTGGCCCTGTACTGTCTTATACTTGTGCAAATTGGTAATACAATTTTTAATTAAAAGTGTCCGACAGTCAGTCAGTCCTAAAGTATATAAAGTAAAAAAAAAACCTCCATTGTAAGTTATGTGGTTTGGAGATCATCCACAGCCTACCCGTGTGCCATAATTTTTATGGAGCACTTCTGATAACCGACAGCACTTGAAGGCAGCATCAGCAGCAGCCAGAAGAACTGGTAGGTATCTGCGTCCACATCACCAGCAACCGGCGGGCACTTACAGGTTCCGCACTCAGGCTAAAGACGGGGGGAACAGCAACAACAGAGAAGACCTTGGAGCCGACATTACATGTAAACAGGTGAGCACTCGTTTAAGTAATAAAACCGTCAAGTGTTAGCAAATGTGTGTCGACGCTGCTTTAACGACTCTTTGCTGAAAGAGCGTTGATGTGTTCACGGTGAAACGTTACGGGTCGCCTGTCGCATAGACTAAAGTAACGTTAACGTTACGTGTGGGGATGTTGTGTCCTGTCCAACCTCATGCCCCTGCCCCCCCGCGATTGTATGTATTATAAACCGTTTAATTTCACTACAGATGCAGCTAACGTTAAGCTAAGTTAACGTTAGTCTAAAACTTGCTTCCCTTCTTTATCCCGGTGTTACCCTCATCTAAAATAATGACAACTTAGTTACAGCTAGCTACAAACGTTAGCTAACCATTTCAGACAATGGGGGTTTTAAAGTAAAAAGGAGGAAAAGTTGTAACTTATGTTATGTTACAACATCTGGTCTAGCTAAGTTAGCTAGTTCTGTCACCAGTCCAAACGTAACGTTAGTTAACGTTAGCTGGAGAAGGTCTGGCAATATTACCAGAGTCCAATATTAAAGTTATGACGCCACTATTTTTAGAGATGCTTTCAGTTGTTATGTAACGTTATGCTATTTTATTAATATCCTCATGCTGTATGTGAGTACATCTCAAATATGTTCATTCGGCTTTAAGACTTTCTGGAAGTTTCTGTTTATCTGATCGGTCGCCTAAGTTACGACACTTGATGTTGGCTCAAGAAAATAACGTTACCCTCTTTTCACACGGCACATTCTTCAATTTAGGCTAGAGATGGTTTTCACTAATGATTGCTATTCGTTAACATTTTATTAATATCCTAATGATGTATGTCAATATACATTTAAAAAATGTTGTGATGTCTGACTGGCCTGTTGATGTTAGCTTCCAGAAACTGCACAAACATTACTACCTACAGAAGAAGAAAACACCTTTTTTTTTCTGTCTGTATATTCTTCAAATAGAGCTGGTTTTCCCCAATCGTTGCCATTTGTTACAGAGGTCTGGTGGAGAGGAAGTAAGTTAGTAGTAAGGATAAAGCTGAGTACATCAATTATTATATTTTAAATTGACAGAAAAATAACATTATCGACTCACATTTTAAATATCACTCTCCTGGATTAGATGCAAACAACAACAAAATCTTAATTTCATGATATATAATGAATAGAGACACACAGACTTTCCACATATGAGGCTGTATTGGTGAAACAGCAACAATTAATCGATTAGTCTATTGAACAAGTTACCTTAAGTCATTTATCAAGCAGCTGCTCAAATGTGAGGATTGTAATAACTTTAAATATATTTAGGTTCTGGACTGTTTTGTACAAATTTCTGACATTCCATTAGACTAAATGATTCATTGATTAATCACAAAACAATCTGCACATGAATTGATTATAAAAATAGTCTCTAACAAGCAAAATGTGGTGTTTTTACTTGATGAATGACTGAAACGGTAATTAAATTGAAAATCTAGTAGTTTGGATTTTATTTCTATTCTGTTTGGTAATTAGACTAAACAAGAACACATTGTAATGAAGCAGTCCCTTTTCTTTCTTCATGAAAAAATAAAATAAAATTTTAAAATAAAAACTGAAGGATGTACTAGGTATCAGAATGTGTTATACAGGATGTCTTGTTGGCATTTACCTCAGGGCTTGACTGGAAAAATACTGTATACTATGTAAATACTACTATGCAAACAAAGAGGGTCTTGTTGGTTGACCAGTTAGTAAAGTTCATTTTGTGGTAGCCCCATCTTTATTATTTTGATTGTGGTAATGTTTGATTAACACATGCGGTAGTTTCTTTACTTAATCATTTTAGATTTTTAAAAAGGAGGATCAATTTTCAAAGCGTTTCTCCCCTGGATTTTATTCAAATTTGTGAATGGATACCCTGCCTAAGAAGCCACTGCTCGCTGCTGTTTACAGTAAATGAGATCTTCTTGGTTTTATGTCCTCTTAGAACATGTTTCCAGCAATGGAAAGTAAATAGAAATATCCAGAAAAACTAAAATGAGCTGCTGATCATCATCACACTGCAGTGTTTGAATAACAAACACTTGTTGTTATTAGTAATTTTGGGTAAGGTAGAAGCTGATCATTGTGTGGCGTCCGTCTGTATCTCCGTTCTGCTGTGATTTGTGGAAGGTGTTGGTTTGTCCGGTGCACCTGTCTTGTTAATGTCAGATTGTTGGTGGTGTTTGAGTGTTCATGGACACTAGGGCTGCAACTAACAACTATTTTGATGCTCGATTAATCTATCGATTATTGAAACGAATAACCGACTATTTGGATTATGAATTGCAAAATTACACAATGCGTCTTATTTAGCTACCAGCTTTTAAATTAAACTTGAGGTTGTTTTAGGCATGTGCTAATTAACAGTCACGACAATAAAATAAATACTGCTTTCAAAAATGGATCTTTTAATGAACGTTTCTGCTACAGCAAAAGAAAGAAATCAAGTCCTGATCTGTGCAGCTGATCTGCTGTTTAGTGACGGAGCAGTTTACACGCCAGTACTGCAACACACCGGGACATACTGACACCATATACAAAGAAAGGAATAACGTCATGCATCACATTTGCCGAATTTACAGGGGGGTCAATAATTATTATAATAATTATTAATTGACGATTTTATAGTAGACAGTGTTTCACAAAATTTATATTTTTTCCCCTAACTCAACAAACTCACAAAACTCGATTTTTTTTTTTAAGGGAGTTTTGTGTGGATTACCCGCCGCCTCACACATAGACAGGAGAACTGTTTTCTCTTCTTTAGAAAGTATGAAATTGTCCGGTGTTGTCTAATCTTGCGCACTCATCAGCAACACGTTCTCCAGCTGGGAACGTCGGCATTAGCGATGCATTGTTTATGATTGTAAAGTGAGGCCACATCTGGAATGTGAACGCGGCTGTTGTGTATAATAATTATGTGCTACTCTCAGCTCCATTAAAAATCAATCAAATTGACTAAGGGAAACTGTAAAGAAAATGTTACAGCTCATAACGTGAAGTAACACGGCTTTAATGGAAGCTAGCTTGCTAACTAGTTTACCAAGAGGAGTCTTCATCATCCACAGAGCAACGACATGAGATGCCTCCTCTTCAGATGCTCCGGTGTTTCCAGGAAAGCTCAGCTTTGCAGACGCTGCAGTTCACGACCTTTTTGGCTGAGTGAAGAGTGAAATGCTGCCACACTTCGGAGGTTTTAGGTTGTGAAGGTGTTACTGCAGCGCTGATGTTGTGTTGTTTTAGCAACTTCACTGTTCACATCACTTTAGTCCGTTAAACTGACGATATTGTTACGACCCGATGACAACGAATTTAATAATCGATTTTTGTCGACTACGTCGATTAGTTGTTGCACCCTTAGTGGACACTGACAGACCTACTCCAGCTGCTCTTTTTGATTGCCGTCACAGTGGGGGTAACTGTGTACTCAGTGTTCAGTTTGTAACAGTATGAGATTGGGTTTGCAGTTAATTATTCTAAAAAAGAAAAGCAGTCTGAGGGGAAAATTGGTTCTAAAACAAAAGAGCTCTATGGAAGTCTAATCAGAGATAAAACCTAGAGCTGCTTTGCAGGTAATTAACTGGGCAGTTGCTGTGCAGATGGAAATTGTGAAAGCTTTTGCAACACTGATTTACCTTTTATGAGCCCACACCCTCTTTATCTTCTGATACTGACATTGTGTTGCTTATTTCAGTTGCAAGCCATAATTGCAGTGCTAATAATGTGTGATGGCTGTCATTGTTCTGGAAATGCTAGTCACGTTGAAGCCCTCCAGTCCTGATCTGTATCTTATCGTATTGAGTTTCTGGAGAGACTAATCCAGTATTCATTTTTATTATGTATTTATTTATTTATGTTCTCCTAAATAATATAGCCTAGAGTAGACTCACATTAAAATGAATAAAGCTCTGCATTAAGAAACCAAATATCATCATATCTCTCCTTTTTATGGTATTATATATTTTGCATTGGGAATAGTGGTTTGTACATAAAACATCCTTTGTCTCCATTGCAAGAATTTGGCTTTTAGTCTCATTTATCTACTGTTACACAATATTCATTTGGCACATCAGTACGGCACAGCTGAAAAAAGAACAACTTGGACAGATGTTGTTGTAATCCCCTGCTGCTCAACTTGTCTGGAAGTGTTTGCTCAAATCCTGTTTAGATTCCTACAGAGTCAGCGCTTCATAAAAAGTACCAAGCTCAAACCATTGCTGTAGACTTCGGCAAATGATCACTTGTTTAATAAGGTCTTAAGGGTCTTCTTCTTTCAACCTTTTTTTAAATTTAATATAGGCTTGGGCAGTATCACAGTATTATGGTATAAGGGTATTTAGAAATCCTGATGATTCTATATTGATCTGATGTATTGTAGTGTACACCCTCAATGTAGGCGGGTGGCACTGCATGAAATTACCTGACATCATCTACAACGCAACAACACGGTAACCCCCTTAACTTTTCCAGCAGCTGGTACACAGGCGGGAGCTTTTAGCAGTAGCCTTTCTTCGCTGACAAACTAACCTACAAGTAAATACCTCCCAAGTCTTTCTATCCATCTACCTGTCAATTTTGGAGTTGCTTTCCCCTTATATCCTCCACCCGTTGCTCCTGTGAATCGCCCATTTCAAATCCAACTGGGTGATGTACACCCTCTATGAAGTTCTGCCCTGAGGTACACTTGCAGTCCGTCGTCCTCAGTACACCTGTCAAATGGTAGGTGGTGGGGCAGAGATCCTCACACGTTGCTCACCACAGCTGGCTTCCGCCAACATGGGTGGTATCACTGAAGTTTCTACCTCTTCATCACTTCCTGTAAAACAAGTCCATCTGCCCTGCATAGAGCTTTCACTTTGGCTGCTTATATTTCAGTTGCATTCTTTTCAGTGTGTGTACTTGTGGCCATATGTCAGATTCAAGATCAACCTGTACTGTAACTTTAGAGAGTCGCTTTGTGGAACAGCTCTGTCTTTACAACCACAGTGTGATAACATTACTCACCTGCTGCTGCACATAACTGGCTGTCAGTTTCATGCTTTGTCTTACCTTCACTTCAAAATCCAAGATACTTTGAGGCTTTCATTACAACCAGCTCCTCAACAACAGTGAAACAGATGGAGATCCTTGTAGACAACCACGATAGTAATCAATAATCACTGTAATTTCCTCTTAATGGGAAAATCCTTAAATGTTCAAATGATAATGGGAACAGCTGTTCCCACAGTCAATTTGCAAAAAAGAAATAAAATATATATAATTATGAAGACAATTTGTTCAGGGGTTCTGCACAGCACAAATCTATTGTCAAAATTATGGTAAAACAGCAAAAAGATGCTTCTCCATCTGTTTTCTTTGTCTGTCCACTAATTAAAAAGAATTTAGACCACCTATGTCTTCGTAAACTTTATTATTCAGTTGAGTCCTCCTAGTGCTGAAGTACTACTTCTGTCTGAACTTTTATAACCATCACCTCTGGTTCACTGAGGCATCATGGGATTGACTGACCCACATCTGTTGCTCACACTGAGGCAGGGCGAATTAGGAGTCCATCAGATGTGGGTTGAGCCAGCTGTGTAAAGCTACCACAAGGCGTAAACCTGCACATAGTACTTGCATGGACACACATACATAGACACAGAACTAGCAGGCACTAGTGTCCATAACTCCCAACCTTTTTATATAAAGTCTATGCTCCCGACTGCCGTGGGGGACTGGTGACCGGGGAGTGGGTCGGTGAAGGCTGTAGTGAGGGCGATAAAAGAAGAAACATTTGATATGAGTCAAGACATTTGTTTGGTTTTTAGAAAACCCCAGAGGAAAACGATGACTTTCTGGGTCGTATCTCTTATATTTATACTTTGGTCTATACTGGGAGGTGGAGATAGAAAGAAGGACATTATTTCAAATCAGTTAATGGGAAATTCAACCGAAAAAGAGCTAGCTGTGTAATGAAGTGTCAGAGGGAGTTACCGCCTGACTCATGCATCTGAAAGAGAGGAGTTTAGTGCCTGTGCCATGCCCCAACCAGGAGTCACTCACTGGCACTGCCATGTGCCAAAATACCCAACACCCCCACATGCTCATAACACACACAAAGACAATCTAATGGCAAAGGCCACTGGTTATAAATAGCAAACAACCAGGACACAGTGAACTCCCAGTGAAAGTAGTCCTCACTGGTTTGTTTATCATTTTTTGTGCGATTGCTAAGATTTCTGTTGATAATTTATGGTCCACTGTGGGTTTGCTTGGCATTTTCCTCATTATTTTAGTTGGCCCGTTGCCGCCTGATAAATAATTTTGCCTGTCTGAGAAAGATAAATATTTGCCGAGATGTTTTAAGGTTTGAGGTCTACTTAAATGTGGCAACTTTGGGTATGAGTTGTTATGTATGGTAAATATTTTGTGTCATAGATTTCTGTCTAAGATTTGTTAAGAGAGATTTGCTGAGCCAAAACACACAGAGATTAACCTTTAAACTGTGTAGCTTTTATCTGAGAGACGAAACAGATCTCCCACTTAGCTCCTCTTAATGCAGGCCACAGAGCAGAGCCTGAAATCCAGAGCCTGCTCTCCTTGCATCGGCGTTGAAAGAGAACTTTTGACATACTGTGTTTAAGTCCCACCCACAGCAAAGTGATGCTAATGGGGAAGTCTTATCTTCTTATTAACAAAAAATATATAAAAACTTGCTTCCCACAGAGTGTGTTGCACATCACATCGGTGGACTATGCACAATATTACTGAACAAACTAAACAGAGGGCAGAACCTAGAGGGAAAATATTATTAAGGTTATTATTAACTGACATGGATAGCCTTCATTGGACACACGAAGATGTTGGCAGCTAAAGACTATATTTGGTTTAGAAAAGTGATGTTGTCCACTGTGACTTGACAGTAACGCAATTAATTTACACTGTGAATGGGCATAGGCTGCCATAGGTGATTATGGTATGTTTATATCTAGGTATTAGTCTAGAGATGGTTATGTTTAAAAATAATGTAACTTTAGAAATAGGTTATTAAAGGTTACAATTTGCTGCTCCCAAGGCCCCAAACTTCCTTAGTCAAGCTTTTCATTTTCAAATGCACACTAGGTTATGTCTTTATGTAGTAAGCTAGTTAGCTAGACATGCTAATGATTGAAGCTTACATTATTTGGGAGGATTTAGTAAACTCCCAACTGGAGGATGAATAGCCACTGACATTTTGGCAACTTAATAAGTGATATTCGTCTTATCATATTTGTCTGTGTTTTCTCTTTCTTCATCTGAGAGTGTGTTTTACACCATGAAGCTTATCCAAATCTCTACTGCTTTTAGTAGTTTGATATGTCTTTGTATGTATCTCTTGATCGAGACTTAGTACTTGCCAGCATGGTACAGAGTGCGGAAGAGATTTGGAGTGCATGACTCTGATGACAATGATATTTTAGGCCACGTTACTGTGTCTTCGATCCAAAAATTGGAATTCTAAAACTAGATGACTTGAATGTCTTCTGATACTTGTTCATCAGACATGTTCTATCTGGTTTTCTGAGTGGCTAAGCTTCATAACTTCACCATTATGTCACGGTTGGAAAAATGCTTCATGGTCTTTATAGCTATCTCCAAATTTCAAAAGCAAAACATGATTCACATTTTCTCTCTTAACAGCCTCAGGGTGAGGGATAATCACTCGCTTATTATGTAATTTTGCTTGGCTTGTATTAGCTTAGCTGTCCTCCTCCCTGCATCTCTATTTCAGTGCAGTTGATTACATTGTTGGGTATTGGCACCCTGTTTAATGCCGTTGCCTGCTCCCTCTCCTTTATAGATTTACCCCTCAGGTCTGGAAGGGAGGTTTCTCAACCATCACACTTGGCTACACTCAGTTGAAGTTTGTTGGGCTATATCTCTCCAAGCTAATATGTCTTAACACAACTTTCTTCCCACAGAGGCCACTCAGAGGACCCTCACACAGAACCGCAGGTACAAACTCACAGACAGAGCCATGGTGGAGTACTACCAGATATTAGGAGTCCAGAAAAATGCAACCCAAGAGGATATCAAAAAAGCGTAAGCATGTTTTCTGCTCTTTTTCCCCCTGGTGTTGTTGTTGTTAGATCCTGGCCAGTCAGAAGGATGTAATAGGTTAATTATATCCGCATCTATATCTAGCTGTATAAACTGACACAAGGACAGAGAGAGAGCAGAGAGACGGCAATGCAGAAAGTTTCCACTCTTCTTCCTGTAACCTTGCTGGTGTCACATACCTTCCCCTAACACTCACCCACCTCACACAGCTGCCTACTGAACAGTTTCTGACTAACACTTTTTGTTTTAACAAGAAAAGAGTTTCCTGTGAATTGAAATGTCTATTAAATGTTAAGGACAGAAATGGTACTATTGGTTGATAACTATAAAAATGTTGTCTGATTGAGGTCTCATAACTACACATAACTGTCAGCGATAATCTCTGCTGATAAAGATTAGGCTACACTAATATTATTAGTACTGTACGATTTGTAGAATTGGATTCCAGGGGTGGCTGTGTAGGATTGATAAAATTGTCATAAAACATGAGAAAAACTCAATAAAAGCTTTGAATGTAAATGACATTTGGTACAGCTGTAAACATAACTTTCTATTGCTGATCAAATCAACCATCATGAGAGTATCCAATTAGCCAAGAATCCAGCATAGAAAGATAGCAAAGGCTGAGAGACTGTTACCTCTATGCACCCAATTGTTGGCTGCCAAAGTCAAAAGTTACCTTGGCTGACACCAATCAATAAGTCATATCTTTAGCCTGTAACCTCAGCTCTTAATCTCTGATTGAATTGTTTGACATGCTAGCAGCTTGGCTCTGGGGATGGCAATGTCAATCGGTCAGTCCACCACTTTGGTCCACACTGAATATCTCCACAACTGTTGGATGCATTGCCATGAAATTTGGTGCAGATATTCATGATGCCCAGAGGACGACCCCTAATGAAATGGATGACCCCTTGACTTTTCATCTAGCACCACCAGCAGATCAATTTTTCCCCCTAATCTTGTGAAAAATTTGAACATCTTATGAATGGATTGGAAATAGACATTCTGACTTTTCGTGCAGCACCAGCAGGTTGACTTTTTGTGGTTCTGAGTGAAACGTCTCCACGACTATTGGACGGATTGTCATGAAATTTGGTACAGACATTAATTTCCACATCAGGATAAATTGTAATAACTTTGGCGATCCCATAACTTTTCATATGGTGCCATCTTCAGGCCACATTTTAATTAGTCCAATACTTTGGTTTTTGACTGTACTTGCCATACTATATTATGCTTATATAGATCAGCCTCAGTTGTACATTTAGTGCTAATTAGCAAATGTTTGCATGGTAACAAGGTAAACTAATATGGTGACTATGGTTAACATTATACCTGCTAAACATGAGTATGTTAGCCATTGTGTGCATGGTAGCATAATGATGTTAGCATTTAGCTCAAAGCACTGATGTGTCTGGTGCTGCGTTCAAGTCATATTGGCGTTATCGTCATTATGAGTCTCCAACTTGATAATAGTGTTAACATCAACATACAAGCCATAATTACTATGTATCTTTGAATGTCGGACTTGGCACTTACGACTACGGAAGTGCCTGAAAACCAAACAAATATTGATGACTCACATCAGCCAAAGATTGTCGTTAAATGTAATTAAACATTATAAGACGTCAACATAGAGATTCCTATGTTGACGTGTTATAATGTTTATCTCTGCCTTCCATCCCATGTGATGCGAACATGGTTATGAAATGGCAGCAAAGAGAAGAAGAGCTAATAGTGTCCTCGGAGACCTTTGACCTGAGTATTCAGATGAAGATAATGGCTGCTGTTGCTTTTACTACTGAACATACAGGCTTCTGACCACAAAGAACATTGTTCAACATAGTCTGGCTGGTTGACCATTGACGAAACTATGTCACAGATTACAACAAAGATGTCGACTACAGAGTACTATTCACTATAGATCCATAAGGGAGCGAATCCCTGGATTGTGTTCAGCCTTTTTGCTAGCTGACTCTCAGTCCTTAGTCTGATCCACATCATCTGTGTGTCCGCTGCCGGTGTGGCTGCTGGGCCTCGAAACAAACAGCTGATGCAGCGTAAGCTGCTTTGAGAGCCTACGCTGCACGTCAATGGATTACAGGCTGTCTTTGTTATTTCTGCATGGGTGGGGAGAAGGACAGCGAGTGTATGCTTATACTTGTGTGTCCGCACAGAGGGACTTTCATGTGGATATGTTTTTGGGATAGGGGAACGTCTCTTATACATTTTCTACCTCTCATTTATGTATTACGAACTGACTATTTGCCTTTGGCATACATTGTGTGTTTGTCTTTATTTTGATGTCCATGTCTGTATTTCAGCTATGTATGGCATTTGTGTCTCAGTTACAGAAAATTGGCATTGAAATGGCATCCAGACAAGAACCCAGATAACAAGGACGAAGCAGAGAGAAGGTTCAAAGAGCTTTCAGAGGCATATGAAGTTCTCTCTGATGGTAAGGTTTTTCTGCAGAAGGAGAAAATCCGCTATGTGGCGCTCTTCTAGTCTTGCTGACCACACAAAGAGCTTTACACAACATCACATTCACACGCATTCATACACATTTACAGAGCAATTTGGGGTTCAGTATCTGTCTCTTCACTATCTAAAACTTAATACAGTTTTTCATAGTTTAGGAGGACAAATTAAAGTCCGTAACAGAACTGCATTAGATGTGAATTTATTGTGCCAAGCAGGTGAATACTTTCATAAGTCATGTTTTCTGTTTCTTAAGGGGATGTAATAACCACAATATTGCTGTAAATATGAGAGTTTAGCTTCTGGAATTCATGTCATTCAGTGTTGATTTGAAAACACAACAGATGCCTGTATTAACATTTTCATTTCATTATTGGCAGTAATGTTCCCACCAGTCACAAGAAGCAGGTATTGTTGGGATTTGCGGTGCGCAATGTCAGGAATGTTGATGCAGTCGTGTGTAGGTCTTGTGCAAAGTTTTAGTGTGGTGGGTTTAGGTTTACTTTCACTTGATGTCATTTGATGTCATAAATAGCTTTAACAGCAGCATATAAGTCCACATGCAGATGGTCGCACTGATGAGTTAAATGCATAAAACATATCAGTTAGCTGTGAATTGGAAATGTTTTTGATCACTATAAGATAATAGTTTAATGCGATGCAATCCGATGGAATATGAAGACTTTCGTGACCCAAACTGAGGTTTAAAACACAACAGGGTGGGATGTTTCTCTGTGTTATCTAAAGTCCTACTCTTCCCACAACAGAAAATAAGAGGAATACTTATGACCGATTCGGCAAAGAAGGCCTTTCAGGAGGAGGAGGAGGAGGAGGAGGAGGAGGAGGTAAGGAGATGACTTTCGAAAAAATAAGAAATGACGATTAAAAATAAGCTATGATTTTGAGTCTCTGTAGACGTAATGTACCTACGCTGTACTGAAGATAATGTAGTCACCAAGGGTAAAATATTAATGGTTATTTATTCTGATGAAGTACATGATGAAAAGCTTGGTATTTTTTATGACTTATATAGTGTATGAGCTTTATTGTTGTTTAATGTTTTAAAGGAGGCCATTACGATCACTTTGGCGGCGGTGGCGGCTTCACATTCCGTAATCCCGAGGACGTTTTCAGGGAATTCTTTGGTGGCAGAGATCCATTTGCAGATTTATTTGGTAAGTCCATTTGTTTTTCTGGCGAGGCACTCGTGATTTCTTTTTTTCAATGAGTTGGACGAAAGAGGGACAGGAGAGAGTCATAAGAGTGGGAAGGACGCAGTGGCTATTATTAGCTGCATAATTTTATCTGGTCTGAAATATACACAGATGACCTGGGGAGGCTCAAGAGAGATGGGGAGAGAAGGAGAACATCCTGTAGGTGCCAGTTTTATAGAATACAAAACACTGATATTTCTATTTCCTAATTAGTTTTCCCTGTTAACAGTTAGCTAGCAGCTCCTACTGTGTAGAAATGTTGAAGATAGAGCATTAGACCCAGAAAACCTTCTGTAAAGCCTCGTGTTAATCCCCCACAGCACTGTAATGTGCATCTCCAATACTCTAAGCACTGTTCACCTCGGGAGGTCATCTGACACTAAATGTCACCTGTTGGAAACACACCGAGTATCTCTGCTGAATGACAACCTCAGCTTCATTATGCAGCCCTCATCTGTTAACCAAGATTTAGACCACTTAATTTACTCTATTTAAAAAAACTCTTTAATCATCTTATCCTTATCATCAATTCAAAAGCATCATACAGTAATTACAGAATCATTTTCAGGTAGTGGTAACCCCTAACCCTAACCCTCAGTAAAAAGGAAAAAAAAGTATATTAAAAAGATGAAACACATAAATACATCTACACATACAGATATAAATAAACACAGCCAGCTTAGTTAACCTAAAGTAGTATGAGAAATTTCAAGTACATGTTGAGTTAACAAACAGCAGGTGAACTAAACAAAACTACCTTGCAACTATTTTGATATTCGATTAACAGGCTATGTGTTTTGTTTTGTTTTGCAAAATAACCAAACATATTGTCTCAGTTGTGAGGATTTAGTGCTTTTCCCATGTGAGAAACTAATTATGATTGGGTTACTTTAAGTAAACAAGCAATTTGAAGACATCACTTTGGGAAATTGTGATATGCATTTTTTCCCCCTGATGATTTATAGATTAATCAGTCAGTCTTTTAATTGAGAAAATTATAGAGATTCATCAATAATAAAAATAATCAACAGTGGTAGCCCTACATCTTAGTTTGTTGCAATATGAATTTGACTCATTTCAAAACATTTTGACCGCTGTGGACACATTTCTGCAGCCACTTCTTAGTGATTGTTTCAAAGCAGTTACTCTTAATATAACCAGCCTGTGAAGCCAAAGACAGATTTCCACATGTGTGGACAAGAAAGATAAAATATTCTCAATAGACATTCATCGCTTTTGTCCACTACATCTCTCTGCATTTTCCTTACGAGTGAAAATGATGGCAGCTGTTTGGTTTTTATAAAACCCCTTGAAAGCTGTTGTACTGCTGACCACTGGCTGTTGGTTTTAGTGAGTTTCTCATAGTGCCTAACAGTTGATTGTATTAGAAGTGTTGTATAAAGTATAGTTGTAGGAGTTTAGCCCCTATCCACGGCTGTCTGGGTTGAGCAAAAGGCTGATTGGAAGGCATGTGTAGTTCACCCCGTGTAGCTCTAAATATGGAGTTCAGACGCAGACAGGATGGATTTGAGCGTCTACATCACTCAACTGGAATGCTTTCAAAAATAGCTTCCGTATTAAAACAAAAGCAGATGTAATAACGCCAAGTGTGTGTGCGTCGTCCATCTCTGTGTGTCAGAACACATGTGAAACATGGGATGATGCGAGCACTCGAGCGTGGGTGTATAACATAAACTTATTGAAAAAATTTAAATTAATGTACAAGTTATTAGAAACGATGCTTAAAAAGCCAACTCATCAACTCTTATATCACCTAGTTTGTACAAACTTCCTTCATGACTCTGACATGTATTACTGTTGTATTTATTAACATACGAGAAAGTGGTGGAGCACAGCTGTTGCTGTTTACTCTCTTCAGTAAACAAGGACTGTTTAAAAAAAGCCTCACCATGTAGCTGTCTGCACTGTCAACCAGGAGAGTAAAGTTCAAGTTCTATTTTGACTTGGGACAACCTTTATTATGCTTGATTGGTATGCAGCAGGATATTCCAAAACATCCATCGTGTCAGGTGTGTTTCATCTCTATATTAAGTGTTTTTCCTTGGATAGACTTCTGTAACAAACTAGTTTGGTTTTCTTGACTTTCCTCCGCATGGCAGCTATAGAAAGAGGGTCCAGAGATGTTTTTTTTTTTAAATCTCACACCGCCTCTAGCCGCCAGTGCTTGTCCAGCCGCTTGTCTTGGTGAGCAGCAGCTGGCCCGGTGGATCTGTCACTCAAACAGAATGGGTGGGGGTGTGCGCGCTGTTGAGACAAATACGGGTTCACACAATGACGAGGGCTTAGTCGTCTGCCAAGAACAGCACACACTCATTCTCAAATGAACATGTGAAGAAGTAGATAAGACGGATATATCAACAAGCTTTATATACACACTTTTTGTTGGACATACTGCAGCAATATAAATATCTCCCAGGTCAGCTCCCATAATTGGACTTGTCATAGTTTGATTTGAACAGTTAATGTTTTTCTCAGCTTTTGTACATTATGGTGTATTTGCACGTACTGAAAACTCAACGACACTGTTAAACGTTATGTATGTGTGGCACATTCTTCACTGATTTAATCTCAGTCTTTGTGCTTGACAGGTCTTTGAATGTTCTCTAAGAGCACAGAAGCGTGAGAGCGCTTTACCTTAACTTTCCTCCCATCTCTTTGTGAACACCAATCATGTACAAAAAAATTAAACCAGAATTCCAATGTAGCCTGTCTTTCTTCCACTGATGTCTCCTGTCTTACTGACAACATTGTAAGAGCGCAGCTGTCCCCTCTAATGTCTTCTTCTAAGTTAATGGACAATAACGCAGTTACAACACTTTTATTTTAAGCTTTCTGTCGGAGGGAACAAGTGAAGCTTTCTTGTCGCTGCCTCTGTACATTCAAGGTTGAGGGAGGAACCTTTCAGCAAATGGTGCCAGTGATCCAGCCTTATCCTGCTGGGCTGACCCAGATTGGCAGCGTGCAATTAGTAGCATGTCCACAGGGTTTTACATAAGAATTAGAGGTGGGCAGTGTAGATTGTCCCATAAATTACAAACCTGTAATAATACATCAGTGTTGTGTTTATAGCTTCTTTCTCTTTATAGCTACTTCCAAGTGACCCAAATATTTGTTTAGACGCTGGTTTAAAGTTGCTACTCAGGTTCACATTCACAATTTCTAATTTGTATTACATTTCCCTCCACAGCTGACGACCCCTTTGAGGATTTCTTCGGTCGCAGTCGCCAGAGGGGCGCAAGCCGAAGCAGGATGGGTGGACCGCGTTTTGGTTTTGGGGGTTTTCCAGCATTTGGGCCTGGTTTCTCAGGGTTTGATTCAGGTGCGTAACTCCACATATGGTACTGGATGCATTATGAATTTATGATGATTTTTGACTAAGGTTTGTCTTGAACGTGTGCTCTTCTTCTAGGTTTTAACTCATTTGGAGACATGGGTGGAGGAGGGTTCACTTCCTTCTCCTCTTCATCTTTTGGTGGTGGGGGAGGAGGAATGGGTAACTTCAGATCTGTGTCGACCTCCACCAAGGTCATCAACGGCAGAAAAATTACTACAAAACGGTATTTAAATGTCAAACCTATTTTCTTTCTTGCTAAGAGAGATGAGAAGGTCAATTCCACTGTCATGCCTGTATGGTAAATATGAAGCTACAGCCTGCCAACGGTTAGCTTAGCTTAGCATAAAGACTGGAAACGGGAATCAGCTAGTCTGGCCAAGTGTGTAGTCTGCACTAGGCATTAGGGTTATAGTTGGTGATCTGTGTGAAGCCTCTACAGACAGAAGAATAGCTTTGCTAAACCTGTAGTTTGACTCCTTAACCCTGGTGCTGTCTCCACTCCTAAATGCCTCTTCCTTTTCCATCTAAAGCAGTAAAATATAAAAACCGACCAAAATGTATGAAGCTAACTCACGAGGGGAGTAAAAACGAACGTCTGCTGGCTGTAGCTTCACATTTACTGTGCAGACATGGGAGTAGTATCAATCTTCATCCAACTCTCTGCAAGAAAAGGGCATATGTAAGTCCTCTTTACCACCCTGACTTCCTCATCTCTGAAGAACCTTGTCTGCTTTTTGTGTTTGTAACAGGATTGTGGAGAACGGCCAGGAGCGGGTGGAAGTGGAGGAGGACGGTCAGTTAAAATCTCTAACAGTTAATGGTAAGGAGCAGCTCCTAAGACTGGATAACAAGTAATTATCTCGCCACAAAAAATTTCACCAACATGCAGTTTTCACACCTGGAAAAACTCGCCCAGTGACTATGGTTGCTACCGGCGGCTGATCTCTCCTCTCTCTGTCCTCCTGCATCTCATCCCGATGAACAATTTTCTCATTTTTATCTTAGCTGCGAAGGAGGCGAGAGAGATGTTCACAGTATTTGTATATTTGTATTTATTCCATTATTATAGGGGGACCATTTTGCTGGAATTTGTGTTTTTGTTTACTAAAATAATCAAATTGTACTTTTTATTTCTACCACATGCTCAGAGCTGAGTACATGCTATAGGTTATTTTTCTTTTGGGGTGGATATTGTCTTTCTAATTGTAGCAGGAACAAGATGCTGTACATTTAGACTTGCGCATGTCATTTTTCCTCTTTTCATTGGACCATTTAACAAGTGAATGATAAAAGCTTTAACCACTTTGCCCTAATGTCTTTAACTTCACCTCGCTAACCTGTTAGCTGTTACCATGTTCACGCGTGTGTACTATAAATGACATAGATGATTAATAAATTAATTATAATAACTTGCATTTTTCTTACTTTTGCATTTGTTTGTGTATTTGAGAATACCAAAGTGTGTTTTGTTTGTTTATGCATGATTGCTGATTCCAGGAGGCTGCTTTGTAGTTTCACTGTAACTGTGTCAGCAACTCAACCCAAGAACCTAGCCCACATAACACCTTACACTGTTACCGGACAGACAGGGGACTTTTCATTCTTTGTAAAAAGACAAAAGAAAAAAACTAAATAAAGAGTTCAGATTTGGTCAATAAACCTCTGTGAAACTTCAGTTTGTGTAACGTCATGGAAAAGCTGCTGCAGTCACCTGGTGTCTTGTGTGATGTTTTCTTTTGGCTTGAGTGTTTTTTTGTCATCTCACCCTTCCTGGATGTTTTGAGATGTGTGTGTGTGTGCGCGCGCGCGTGCGCGTGCGCATGCTTGTGCCTGATCACGTTTTAAACCTGCTTCACACATGAAGGAAACCACAGCGGCTGCTTCTTCTGCACACTCACCCATCAAACAGCTCACCGTGTGCATTATTGTAACCTACTAATGCCTCAGTTTCGTTGTTGGTGACTCACACGAGGGCTTGGTCGCCGACATTAATGTGTGTGCGGGGGGGGCTTTCACTATAATAATCCTGTTCACCATTTATCTAAGAGATCATGAGGTAACATTATCTTTTCAAAGAAATATCATCAAACCCTGAAGTGTTTTCTTTTCAGTGTGGTAGGTATGCTTTACCCTTACAGACCAGGTGAGAATGAAACAACACCCACTTCCTCAGGCTTCAATTCTATATTCGCACCTCTGGCCATTTTTATGAGCTTATAAAAGTGCTGATAACGTACCTGTTTTGAATAAGCCCTAGAACAGAATCTGCAGAGACGCCGAGCCAAGCTATGGAAGATTAAAACAACTGCTCATCTTGTCATCTATGCTAAATAAAAAGCCTCACGTCCTGGCTGAAAAATAATTAATGAAAACGTATCTAACTCGGTCTCCTATGAATCATTGGGCATGATAGGCTCATATTCACAGTGAATATGTTTGCAGCTGGCTCAGAGGTAACTGTGTACAGAGATGACTGTGTATGTTTCTTGAGGAATGTGCTCCGGGCTCATTTATTTACACAAGCCTCACTGCATGTTTTTGAGCGAGACAAGTCAGGGTTGGGAAACTGAAGGGGGAAAAAGGGCAGGGTGAGGTGTACTCCAGTGTTAACAACATGCCTGATGCGGTTTTCAGTTAGGTTATTTAATATTACAATGAATGCACAGTTTGTTGCCAGTGTGTGTTAGGTGCTGTGCAGGCTATGTCTTCCCCTGTATGGCTTTTGTTTGTTTTGTTCGTTCGATTTATTTTTCAGCACTTCTAATTGAACCTGTTTGCGCATGCGCAGTCCTGTTGCTAGGTGACACAGCAGCCCTGCGCCAATCGCCATTGCTTACAGAGCCTGAATACTCTCTCTCTTCCTACCTCTTTCTTCAATCAGCTTTATTGGCATGAATGTTTAAGTAAACAATGTTGCCAAAGCACAGATTCACACAAACACACACATATATAAAAACAATTAAATTAAATTTTTAAATCAGAAGAAAGAGAAAAAAACTAAAAACCAAGCATATCCTACACTGAAAATATGTCTTGTCGCATTTTTCCAAGAACAATGAACAAACAAGTTTCCACTGGTTGTCCTCAATTCGTGGCATGAGGAGATTTTGCTGTAATGATTTGTGATTTGGGCCTTTGGGAGTTTCTGTGTCTGATTTAAATTTGAATTCATGGTATATCTGGGAAATGTTTGCAAAGCGTTTTTCTCTTAATGTGTTATATTTAGGGCTTAAGGTTAGAGCGTGCAGCTCTGTCTACCTGTCCTTAGAGTCTCTTTTTCTATGGCCAGGCTGTGTTCACTCAGTCTGTATGTTGTCGACATAGTTCTTAGTTCAGGACATTTTATTGTGCTCTGGTAGGCTAATTTCCAGGCAATTTGAATCCAAATCCAGACTCTGCCATTGAAAACTGCTATGTAAAAAGGGGATTTTTACAGAATGTAAATAATAATATGAATGGCTATTGCTGAAAAAATGCCAAGGATTATAACTTCAGTTATAATTAAGACTGTTGTTGTTCCATCTGTAGAAATGTCCTCCATCCTGAGTCTTGCAATCCAGAAATCCACCCTCCAGAATTTTAACTGATGTGGACCATGATTAACATTGCAAGAATGTGCAGCATGTCTCTGTGGTATAGACAGTAAGTAGTGTCAGTGCTCTTATACTGTAGCAAAAAAAGAACTACAGCACCATTTACACTCTCAAAGAAATATGTGTGCACACACTTTTTGCTTATTGATAATTTGGTTTGGTCTCAGCGTTGCTGTCCTGACGCTGTTGGAGACATGTTTCTGCAGAGAGCCTCAGGACCAGCTGGCTGAGGGGACTCTCCCCTGGTTTCAGCTCCTGGCATGTTAGGGCTTTGAGATGGTATGTCTGGGGGTTAATTTATTTTAAGTGATTGTAAAATGTATCGTTTGTATTTTTAGTAAGAGGGGGTATTCCCCAGAGCACTGCTCTGCACAGATTATTTGGTGTAGTACAAATTGGAACATTTTTAGCCAGATTTAAATTGGAATATAGAATTTAATGATTCTTTTTATTACATAGAAATATCTCCCTGCTTTGTCGCTCCGATCTTTCACAGTCCTCTCTCTCTCTCTGTGCATGTGATGAGTAAATGAGGGATAGATGTTGTGCACGAATTACTACTCCTGTAAAACTCAGAGTTTACACGATAACATTATTCCATAGAAATCATAATGTGGAGTACAGGAAGTTGAATAGGTGTTGGAGGGTCAGGACGAATTATATTTATGGTGCAATAGCTCCCTCTCCTGGATCAACACAGATTTATGCTAGAAGTACAAGTTATAACATTAACGGAGTTTGTCTTTGTTTTATTTGAGGAATAATCTGGCTTTTTGGACCTACAGTTCCCACAATTTGGAGGATGTAAACAGGAAGTATAAGACTGTCATGGAGTCAATGAGTTAACTGATTTTCACATCTCAGGCCTGATGAGGTAAAACCGTTTTTCTCTTTGCAGTCTAAAAACCAGTGGTAGAATCTAATAAAGTACATTGATTCAAGTAAGTAATTCTGAGGCGCTTTACTTGAGTATTTGTATTCATGCTAGGCTACTTGACACTGGTCCACCACTGCATTTTGGGTGCCAATATTGGCCTTTTTACTTGGACTTTATATTGTTCTGTCACTATTTTTGTACTAGTTAGGCTACTATGTAGATTCACATAATTAATAAAAAAAAAATACAAATCAACTGATAAATTATGATGTATTAGAGAGGTTAAGCTATCCATCACTATATAAAGTAGTTAAAATTAACGTCACCAGCTGCAACATTAAAGAGATGTACATATTAATGCATCACTAATATAATCTAGTGATATAATATATTATATTATTCTGAATTGAGCCACATTTTGATGCTAATACTTATGTACTTATACTCTGAGTATGTCTTCCCCCACTGGATCAAACTACAATATTTTGCCAAAGAGAAGCAAAGAATATACAAAAGTCTGCATATTTTTGCTTTTTCAACTTTTTTCTTATTTGCTATCAGGGCGATCATCCCAGGACCCCACTATATTAATCTCCCAACCCTATGTAGGGACCTCTATCTCTAGGTTGAGGACCACTGCTTTAGAAGACATATACAGCATAGAAAATATGAAAACTAAAATATAAATCATGTATAATAAGTAGTAAAGTTAAATCCCTGAAACAAGAAGAATTGCAACAATTTATCAGACAATTGAATTTGAAGTTGGACCCGCATGTGGCCACTAGATGACACTGTTTGTATACAAAAGACAGCATGACTTCATTTCTTCAACAGGAATCACAAAAACAGAAGAAACCAGATAGTGATGAGTAGGATGACTGGGGCAACATGTGACATACTCATATGAACATTATTTTTCTTTTATTGATTTTTAATGTGAAAACTTTAATTTCCTCTGTTTAATCATCAATATTCACATTTAATCGTCAGTATCCTCTTTATTAGTTGTGGTTTGATAAAATTGGCTCTGTGTTTCTTGTTAGAAGTAAAGTCTTGCTGGCTCTTCCCAATATGACACACAATACTGTGATTTCCTGTCCTCGAGTTTCCCCACGCTATGAAAGATGGCTTCCTGTCGGCAGAAGGCAGCATCCGGTTTTAACCTCCCTCTCCTCTCCTTCCAGCCCCGTCTGCTTGACAGCTTAGCATGAAACATCGAATTGTCCCGGAGCTGTTGGCCAGTTTATGAACGATGGCAAAGATAAGCTGCCAGTTTCTCTTTGACTGTGTTTGCACAAGGACACAGACTGTATCTCATCCGCAGAGTCACATCAGCACGACACCACATGTCTTGAGCCAGGGGAAGGTGGACTGTTGAAAATAATCTGGTCCACAGTTGTAGTTGTCATGTAGGGTTAGCCTCCTCCTGAACAGTGATTTATTTTAGGCTTTAGGCTCCAGCCTGCTGCAAGTGAGGCTCCTTTTGTCTGTCACACACACACACACACACACACAGATTTTGTGTCTGTGTGTGTTAAGGCGTTAACCCATGTGTTTGTGACTGAGCACACGCTTCTGCAGGCTACTGCAGTCTGAACAGTGTGTTTTACAGAAGTGTTTAGCCCCGAGACAAATGACAGGGACTCCAAGACAATAGCGGCAAATGAAAGCATCCAGGAGCCCAACCGCGTTTCAAATTAAGTCCAGAAAATGAAAGGCCTCTTTCACGAGCATTGAAAGATCTCATTATCATCGCTGCTCTTTGATATTGTTTTTGTTTAAATTAATTAACCAATGATAGATTATGCGTCTTGATAGCGGAAGGAATCTTAATCAACCAGGTAGCCAGGGTCCATAATAGATGCAAATATTGATCCTCTGGAGCAAAGGAGCCTTGGAACAAAACGCTCAACCTTGGAGCCACACATGTTGTCTTAATCCAGCTGTTTTACTTCACTTGATAGGATCAGATGACAAATGCAAGTTGGGATTAGTTGTTTTTCCAAAGATAGATGGAGAACGGGTAGCAGCAGCCTTGGGAGTAAAGCCACCAATTGTCCTGTTTCTGCTGGTCCACTGGGCGCTGGTCTCTCCTCGCAGGGGTCAACTCTGTGTTTTTGAATGTGTATTTCAATTTAAAAAGCTAATTTGCACCGTCTGAAATAAAGAAAACCCAAGTCTCAGGGCTAAAGCGACATAAATCACCAAAAAGTTTAAGTGTTTTCAACAAGAAAATAAACTACACATGGGGAAAATACTCAGCCAATTTCGACCTTAACACACTTGAAAAGCATTTGTGACAAAGAAATAGACTTGGGTCAAAATGGAGGTCCTGCAGTAATAAGAATTCTATTCACAGAGAATTGAAATCCAGTGATGTCTTTGTCTCTGTTAAGACCTGAGCACATGCAGCCGTCCTTGAGCTCCTCCTAAAACCATTGAAAGAGTGCTGTCTCCCTTTAAAATGTACATCTTTGTCACATAAAGCAAAGAAAAAAACAGTGTTGCACTGTAGCCACAATCATCTCTGTAGTTTATCTTTATTCATTAAAGACTAAAAAGACTATTTTTTTGTTATACTTGTTATTATGTTTATGTCTGTTTATGGTGAGGTGGCTCGTGCTCCCACAGGTATACAGCAATATGTCAAACAAAGCTGCCACGTCTCTAATGATGCCTGATGTGTTTTAAGGCCGGGCTGTCACACACCGTGCCAGGGATTTTGAAACGCTGGTGCAGATCCTCCTCTAAATGGGACCAGGTTCAGCACGGCGAGCATCTGGCCCCCTTTCTTCTCCTCTCCACTGCCTTAATTACACAACACAATGGCGATGAGATCTGCCTGTAATCTCACAGCATAATAAGCCCCCCCCCCCATACCCTGCCTGCCACTAATTCAATATAAATGTAAATTACCTAGAGAAAAGAATAACCAAATCTCATTTTATTTACATGACTAATCACAATAAAGTCAGGCAGATGAAATATGAATGAAATATAGGTTTGGCGTTTGAAAGGAAGGAGGGGTCTGTATCGTCTTAGGGACTCTTTGAACTTCGTGTTTTATATCATCTCTGTTGTTTCATGTTGGTTACATCAATATGCCTTTTTGCACTTGTGCTCAACTTGCTGTAATAGATGTGTGTATCTATTTTTTTCCTGTCTGATTGTATTCACACTGCCAAGGGCATCACTAGGTAATATGTTTTCCTTCCAGAATGACTTTCTTTTTTTTTTTTTTTTGTACCACACATGTGTCAAACAGCTGAAATTCAAAGACGCTACATAGAGGGGGAAAAAAAAGAAAAAGATTTAATGTTGGTTTGAACACCTCAGGCCATCCATCCAGACAGCAAGAAGAGAAGGTTTAGGTGTGATTCATTCACACTCTGCTCTGCTCTGCCTGTACCCACAGATGTTGCAGCCGAAGACCCGTTGGAGGAAGAATTTCGTCGCCGCAGACAAAACATGCTCCCTGGCTTCGGCCTGCACCAGCGCTACCTGAGGAACTCCGCCCAAAACCCCTCGGAGGAAGAGGAGGAGCACGGCTTACAGAGCCTGGGACTAACGAGAGGTTCGCCCACCCGCCACTGCAGGGCTGATTAATTACCAGCGCACAGAGCTCTCCTTTAAAGTGTAGAGTCTTAATAAGCGCAGCTAATTGTCTGCTTTTGTGTCTGATGGCCACACAAAGGACGATGACGAGAGTGGCACGTTTGATTGGCAGATGTAAACACCGAGGACAGAGGTGTTCATTAGGCGGCTCTGTTCTATGCTGCAGTAACGACTAGAGGTCAGAGGTCGCCCTCTGTTTTTCTTTACAGGGTTAGGAAGTCACACACAAAAGCTGAGCAATTATCTGCAACACATAGTCGCTGACTGTTTTATAATGGCAGCTTCTTTAGTTAAGGAGGGGACCTTTAATTCAACCGTGCATATTTCCTGCTGGGATGCGAACAAAGGCCCTAATTCTCTTTCTGAGATAATGACACAAACTACTCAAATATGGGTCCTCATGTCGTCCTATGTTTTTAACCACTGCTGCCGGCTGAAACTAAGATTTTTTTTAAATGTCAGAAAAATCTGCACCACTTTCTAATAATTCCCACTTTTTATAAAGTGTTTACAAGCTGTAACTAATGGCTTTATTAGCAGGTAATTAATCGTTAATTAATGTTCTATAGACATTTTGGTTGCCAAGTTACTGGTGTTTATCCTGCTCTCACATCACACTTTTGTTTTGAAGATATGTGATATTCAGGAGCTTGTTTCTATTGGTGAGGGTGAGCATGGTGGAATAGGAGGTGGTGCAGTACAGGTTCAATATAGAATAAATCTAGAAGAAGCCGGAGGTGGAGGTGGAAGTTTGTGGATGGTCTTTGACTCTTTTATGGATGTCTGTGATGTGATGATCAAAGCTCAATTTATTACCCAGGATGATGCCAAGGTACTTAAAGCTCCCCATCATCTCCACTGGCTGGCCGTTGACGGAAGTGGGGCAATGAGGGGTGTTTATTGCGGGTGTCAAAGATGAGCTTCTTCGTCTTGGTGACATTGAGGAGGTGACTGTCTGTGCACCACTAGGTGAAGTGGGCAATGGGATTGGATCCCCGTAATATTCAGTTGAAGTCATGTTACTGACCTTACTTAGTTAAGGGTTAAAACTAGAATATCAATAGTTCACAAAAGCATCATAACCAGTGAATTTATGAATCACTATTAAGAAGAATGGGACACAACCAAACTTGGGTGCGCGATTGCATGCATGTTGCTTGGATCACCATAATAGCACATAATGTTGTTGGATGTTTACAACCAACCATGACAGCTCATTTTGCTGGTAAGAATCAGAGCAGTTGGTATGTTTACTAATAATTGGATCATGCACACACCTGACTATAAACTATAGTTCCACTGTTCCACCGGGATTATTAGGGGTAAAATTTATTTATTTATTTATTTATTATGGATAACTTAATAACTTTTGTTGATGGCTTATAAGAAAGTGATAAACTCTTGACTTTATTAAAGGAATAGTTTGACATTTTGCTGAAATTATTATTTCTGACTTTATACCTCTCTCATGTCTGTATAGTAAATATGAAGCTAGCGTCAGCAGCTGGTTAGCTTAGCTTAACAACAGGCTAGAAAGGGAAAGAGGGAAAAAGTTAGGTAACAAAACCTGCCTGGCACCTCTAAAGCTTGCATTAGATCTTGTTTGTTTAATCTGTACAAAAATCAAAGTGTAAAAATAAAAAAAAAATTTATGGGGGTTATGTGCTGGACTGTTTCTTGGCCAGGTGCAGAAACTTCCTGCAGTCTCGTCATCGCTGTCAGGTTATCAGCCAACCATGAGAGACTCCAGGTAGTTACTGCGCCTTGCCAAGGATTTAAAAAAAAAAAGGTTATAAAGTGTTAATTAGTTAGCTTAAGTAGTGCTGGTAGGCAAAGTTTGTTCCCTGGATAGTCTAGAGATAACTGTTTCCCCTGTTTCCAGTCTTTATGCCAAGCTAAGCTAATCAGCTGCTGGTGCTAGCGTCATATTTCATTTTTCACAACCTGGCAACCCAAATGTTGATCTTACTGAATTATTACCTCATAACTGATCTATAAAGATTATTAACATGAATAAAGCCATTAGTTGCACCTGTTAGTTACTTTTAATCCCTAAATAACGGGTGTCTTATTAGTACAGAGAAATCTAAATATTTAATGATAATGTTTTCTGTTTTATTTTGTAGGACACACAGACACCAAGAGGAAGAAACTGTGGCTAAAGGAGACAGAGTCGAAAAAGAAAAGGGCTCCTCGACTCTTCCCTCGTTTTGGTGGACTTGGTGCCTTTTTTTAAACACCCTCAACACAATACTTACACACACACACACACATATATATATATATATTTGTTGGCAGAAGTGCCATCAATCATACGTGGCATTAGTTCATCGTCACTATGTATAGGAGGCCTCAGTGCCGTGCAATATCTCCATAAGTCTATCAACTCCTGCCTGCCTTCATCAGTCAAACAGTAGCCTGCAGAGACCTCACTTCAGTGTTTTGTCTTGTCCAAGATACATTTTTAGTGGTTAAGCTTTTGGTATTTCTGTATTTATTGTGGGTGGGCCCTGTGGATGAACAGTGAGCATTCAGAGCCTTAATTAATCTCCTGTGATTACACTTTTACAGCACACATTTTCAGAAAGTGTGTTTGAAAGAGTTCAGGTAGAAGGAGAGCTTCAGTAGCAGCTTTGTTTGTGATAAGCATGAAATTGACTGCAGTAATGCTGTCAAGCATGTGAGAATAACTGAAGGTCAAGCTATTCAGCGGATCCAACGAGAAGAGAGAAGGATATCTAGGCAATGTGAGAGTAAAACAGAATGAAAGCATTGAACAGTGAGTTTTATTACAGAAAGAGATTAACATGTTCTCCTCACACCTGCAAAACACATGAAACGTGACTATCAACACTCTGGCAGTTGCATTTCCCACTCTTTTATCGCTACGCCTATTGGGTTTCAAAGTCATTATTTTTTTCTTTTGTAGGTTTCTTTGTACAAAGTGGATTCAGCAACATGTTAACCTTCCGTGAGTGTTTTTGTAAAAGATTTCTTAAGCTAAAATATATTTTCCCTTATCTGATTTGTCCTTGACGCATTGTTCTCGTGATTACTGTGGAAATGCAGAACTTGTTTTTGGACTCCTAACAATAAAGGCTTATAGACAAACATGTCCTCATGGGTAGTCAACTTTTTATTTTATTGTATAGCATATGTATTAGATAACCTTATTAATGCAGAGAAGGACCTTGGTCACCCATGCACAATGACAAATCATAGCTGGCAACATATAAAAGTCATATTGCAAGATAACACATATTCCAACATTACATGAGTGTATCTTATAAAACAAGCAAACATCACATGAAATTTCAAGGTTTCAGCAGCTGTAAATTGTTCTGTGGAGTGTCTGGGTAACTCTCACTCAACAAACGTCTAAGATTACAAAAAAACGAACATACAGACCCTGATGAAAAGTATTATATAGTTATTTTTGCCACTTGGGGACAGCGTAACGAGCTGAAACACAGCACTGACACCTTGTCACTATATAAAGCTGATTTGTAAGCACACAGTTGCTTACTTACACAACCATCAGACATGGAGCACACATTAGCATTCATTTGGAGTCTTGTTTCAGTCCACCTGGCAAGTCCAAAACACACTCTCATTTTAGCTCTCCTGAGGGAAATACCTGGCTCTTTATCTATGAAGATTCTCAGTCATCCAGGTCATAGTTATCCAACGAAGGTCAAAATGAAGGGCAACTGGACTTGGTTGAAGCTACTGGAAGACGTTTCGTCCCTCATCCAAAGGACTTCTTCAGTTCTGACTGACTGGCAGGGAAACTCAGCTATTTAACCTCAGTGGGGTCGTTATCCCGGGTCATCGATACCGCTGGTTCGTTAGTGTTCCTTGTTGCTGTGACGACAGTCGTTGCAGTCGTTGAGACTACCTGTGGCCAAGACTGAACGACCATCGTTGGTATCTTCACCTGAGGCCAATAGGTTACGTTTGTTTACGTCTTCCAGTAGCTTCAACCAAGTCCAGTTGCCCTTCATTTTGACCTTCGTTGGATACCTGGCTCTTAAGCTGCTAAATGCTCCACTCTGTTCACCAACTAGTTGCTAAGTTTGTGTGTCTGCTGTTTGGTGCTGAGCAGGTAGAGGACAGTGGTTTTATTAGAGTTTATTTTTTGTGCTGCTTGCTTCAATAGAAAGACAATGATTATTTAGGGGTTGTACCAGAACAGGTTTACATGATTTCATTTTCAAAAAACACAATATTTTTGTCATACTGTACATTGCTGCAGCACATCTGTACATCCTGTGTGTTTAATGCTCCGTTTTAGCTACCCAGTGAGGCATCTCACTTGTATTTGATCTTTGTTTGGAGTTGCGCATGAGTAGTGCCTAGGTAGGGAGCCAATCAGAAGGGCAGGTCCGGACAAGCCATAACCATGGCTTTGGATCAGCTGTGTTTCAGAGTGATACTACTAAACTTTTAACTGTGCACTGTCTCTACATCACAGTAACAACTTTATGTGGAAATGGTAACTCCCTTCCGGGTGGACTACGGGCTTTTTCACTTTGCAACCCTTTTCCACGCACAAAAAAGATATATAACACAGTTAAGCATAATATGATATTTTCTTTAATATAAAAATATTTATTAGCGCAGCTTTAGTAAAATTGCTTCCTGTCTACAGCATCGAAAAAACACCTCTTACACAAAATCTAAACACAACAACACAATCAATTACAAAAAACCCAGCATCAAACACTGCCAACTCTTAATCAACTCGTATTTCTTCTTTGCTTCCATTGCCCTCAGTGACTTGAGCTGCAGTGTCTCTTTCCTACTGAATATGTTCTTTACAGTCTGCTCTCTTAAGCTCAGAACGAGGGACAAAACACCCAGGATTTTCCTGTCACATGGGCAGAGCCCTGGAAGGAGCAGTATTCTCAGATTATTTTGAATGAGCCTGCAGTGTTTTGTATTATTCATGTGGCAGAATGCATGCACATGACCCAGTAACTGATTTGGCCCTTGTTCCCATACAGCCAGTACTCTCTAAGGGTTTAATTAAACAGTTTTGAGGCAGTGGCCTATCTCCCTCGATCGCCTTACTTTTTACAGCCTTCCTCCTCCCAAAGTCATTACACAACTGTTTCTGACTGGGTCAAAAAAAACTGTGAAATCCTCCTATTGACTTCCACTCTGAGGACATCTACCTCCTGGGGAGTGAAGAGCAGAGCGACATCTCACTGTCACCCACTGTCTGCCTGAGAAAAATCACCCACTTTCTCCTGAATGAAGCCGAGCACCTATCGACACCATCACCACATGGAGAGAAATGATGTTAAATGTAAGTATCTACACTCAGTACAGTAGACTGAGAGTAAAAAGAAAGACACAAGCTGGTGTGATAGATAGATACTCAAATGCTGTTTGATAATAATAATTATGTTGCAAAGGACAAAAGAGATTTTGTAATTGGAAAGAAACAGAATAAAAACAATGTAACATAATTGCACAAAATTGTGTATTCAGCAATTCTAAAAATAGATCTGTGAAATCTGGTAATTACACTATCTGTATACACAATTGTACATAATGAGCAGTGTGCAAAAAGCAGTAATCAAACCAGTTTCCCAGAACATGATGATAAATATCAAAAATGTATTCTGTGTACATAAAAAACATCAAACGCATCAAATAAACAGTGTAGGTTGTTTAAAGGCAACTGTTGATTATAGCACAAAGTTTGTCATCTGTGGTGTCTCAAACTGCATCATGCATGTTTTATAACGAAGAGGGTATAATTCAGCCAGATCAATGCTGATGGCCCTTTGATTGTTATTAGAGTAAAAATTGCTGCAGCTGCTCAAAACAGGAGGTCGTGGCCGCAACAAATGTATAGTGCTGTTGAAATTAATTAATGTAATTGCATTCATAACTACTTGGGATTGGATTAAATCAACATGAAACAGAACAAGCCCCGAAACACAGATACCCCCCCCCCATCAACAGCAGCACCTAAATGGTTAGGTGCAAAAAAACTGCTCATAAATCCGTTGTATATCAAACAAGCTTTGAGAGAAAATTTGTACTCATGCGCTTGTCAGAGGGCTTTTGTTGTGCTCAAGAAATTAAGACTTTAAGTGAATAAAAAAAACACGCCAGTGTCGAAGAACCTTGTTGCAAGACGATTTGTAAAACAATTTTACAGAATATTTTTGCTACCTAACCGCATTGAAAGGAGGTAGAGACAGGGCATACGAAATAATACAAAAAGCCACCTGGGTGTACTTTAGTTTGTACTTTATTTTGGAACAGCTGTCAGACAGGGATTAAGGTGGAGCTAAATTGGAGAGACATTTTTTTGTGAGGGTGCACTCAGCAGATTAGGAAAGAGGAAACATCATAGCAAGTGTCCTTTTAGTAAACTGGATGGAAGCAGGACGATTTACACCTCCACCTACAAAAATGGCTTTCCACACATTGGTATAGCATGAAAATGTTTCCGTTAGTGTCAAATGAATAACTGTAAAACATAATTTAACATCAATCTGTAGACATATGGGTAGTTTTTTAGTAGCTTGTACTTGACTCTCGTCCAACTGAAACATAATAAATCTCCAAATTCTTCAGTGATTGATTCTTCATGCCTTGTTTGTGTATTTGTTTGTGCTGCTTATTATTGCATTAGAGGTATTAATGTTGCTTTGTCTTGGAAAAAGAGAATGGATTTATGTGAGTCTGAACAAAAGCCTCAAGTTTTATTTGTGTATCAGTTGGATTGTAAACACAATAACTACGCATTCAGCGTGGACAAAATCAGAGTGCACCAAATGACACCCTGTTGGAACTCTGACTGTCACAGAGTTACTTACTGTGAAGTAAAGTTATTGTCTGACTCAGGTGGCTGTTTTCTGACAGGGACAGAAATTTGTCAGGACAGTCTGAGTGTCACTTAATCCCAGGATGGAGGAGCTCAGCGTGAGCAGGATGTACTGTTGGTGGGTCACTGTTGGATGAGTTTAGATGCACTGCTACTCTCTAAAAGCAGGATTCAGAGCCAGAATATCTGTGTTTAAACAAGAGTCTACAGCCACACTACCGGCTCTGTGATGCTGTATTTTGGCATAGCCATAATACGAGCTTATGTTCCTTCTCTGCCACAGCGCTCCTCCAACTTACGCCGTCTGGCTGTGCCATCCCTACACACAAAGCAATCTCAGTCCCGGCTGTTCTCATCTGTCAACACCACCACGATGGTGGAACAAGCTACCACATGCAATAAGAGCAGGGGTGTCCCTCTGTAACTTCAAGAAGCTCTTGAAAACTCGTCTCTTTTAACACTTTCTCTTACAACACCTCTAACCCCTGACATGCATTTCCTGTGCTCCTCTTCTTCTACCAGCTTACAATTCTCTTGTATTTCGATAACTTCTTTCCCTAGAAATGTACCCCATTGATGCCATATGTGCTAGTAGCTCTTACTAGTATGTATTGTCAGCTGTAGATCTTGTGCTGTATTGATGCTTTATTCATGCTTGTATGTTGTTCCTCAAATGCAGGCCTCTCCCAAATGAGTAAATGTAATGTAAATGTAATAGCAGTGCTTTGAGCTAAATGCTAACATCACCATGCTAACACAGTCACAATGACAATGTTATACTGAGCAGTTTTTAGGCACTTGTACTTCACTAGTATTTTCTTTTTTGCCTTATACTTCTATATTTGAAAAGGAAGTATTGCACTTTTTATTGCACTAAATTCATTAGACAGCTATATTTATTTTTCAGATTAAGATGGCATAAAAACATATGATGAGTTTATAAAATGCATTTTAGCTATCAAGCTCCTCTTCAGTGGAATCAGGTCCCAGTTTTCGGTTCGGCAGACACCATCACATTTAAGAGTAGGCTTAAGACTTTCCTCTTTGATAAAGCTTAGAGTTAGGGCTGGCTCAGGTGAGTCCTGAACCATCACATAGTTATGCTGCTATAGGCCTAGACTGCCAGTAGAATTCCCATGATGCCCTAAGCTCCTCTCTTCTCCTCCCCCTCTCCATCTGTATTTTATCACATTAATGCATGTTCCCAACTTGACTTCTTCTCTCTCCAGTAGTTTAGTGCGTTGTCGTCCCTCTCCTCTCTCCTTCCA